ACTACAATGCCTATCTCTACGCGCACACGCACACAATGCGCATGACAAGAAAAACTAATATTTTTATAGCTCACATCACTCTACGAAATCATTGATCGTGTTGTCGGTTCGCATAATCGTCAGACGTCTAGATAATCAACGCGCGCCTCAAGTTGCACTCCCACACACTCTCTAACCTTGTCATGCCTGCGCTCGCCATTTCGGCTTCTCAAGAGTTGGTCACGAGTTGTGCAAATATAATTGTGTCACTGCCTCAAATAATACCATAGATGTGGTTCGTGTGAAACGAAAAAAAACATGCATTTTCATGTCGGCACGGTTTGCGAGAGAATGCATCAACCACCTTATTGTATCATCATTTTTTGTTCTTCAGTTCAAAGTCAAAATCATCTATGACATGAATGTACCTCGCGAATTTGCCATTCAACTCACATTGGGTCTTCATCCACTGCAATGTAGAATGACCATAATAGATCTTCAAGAATCCACCCAGTAAAAAGTGTTTTTATTATTTGAGGGCACAGATCAGAGCATACAATTTTTTTTCATAGGTAGATGTTTGAATGCCCTGCACTTTTATCTTCTTACTCATGAATTTTACTGGTTGCCCATCATCTTATTGCAAAATTGCACCTACACAATACTGACTTACATCTATGGTCAGCACAAACGGCGAGGTAGGGTCAGACAGTTTGAGCACAAGTGCCTAGGTAAACGCTTTCTTCAGTCTAGAGAAAACTGGCTGACATGTGGGTGTCCACCTGAAGTGGACATCCTTCGCTAGCATGTTAGTTAAACCACCGGTCCTCCTGACGTCAGAAAACCTCAGGGGTACCGCTAGCGCCGTTTCACGACGGGTACCGGTAGTACAGCGTGGAAAACCGGTCCTCGTGATGTCAGAAAACCTCAGGGGTACCGGTAGCGTCATTTCACGACGGGCGGGCCTCCGTACGAAATTTGCGACAAAAATAAAAAATAAACCAAATCAGCACGATGAATATTTCACCGTCAAAACGATTTTATTTATTTTTTCTGATATTTTTCCCTGAAAGATCACGACCTAATCTACGGACCCTCAGATTTTCAGACGTTTTGCTGTTTTTTTCTGAGCACAAAAAATCAGCAAAGTTACCGCTTGCAAAATGGCGGGATTGGAACCATCGGCCTCCGCACAACCTGGCGCCTCCGTACGGTCGCCGCCCCTCCATACAGCTCTGCCCTAACTCACAGGGACTAGGGGGGTTCGGTGGCGGGGGGACCGCTGGTTTAAGGGGGTGGCAATATCTCTAACTGTCTGAGTTTGGGGCCAATCCTTAACACCAACCACTGTAGGGGCTTTTGGAGAAAGACCCTCTGCAGACATAATATGACCCAAATACATGACAAAAGAGGCACCAAAGCATGGATTTTCTTTGTTAATGTTGTATTTGTGTTCTCTGAGCATCTGGGGTACCTGTCTGAGATGGTTAGCCTGGTCTTCGACAGTCTTTCTAAACATCAATATGCCATCGAGCTGGACAGCAACAAAGCGACCCAAGTAGCGTTTGAAGATACAATTTATTTGAGTTTGGAAGGTGTTTGATGCATTGCATACACCAAATGGCATGACTAGATACTCATAGGTGTCATACCAGGTCTTAAAGGCTGTCTTGTGCACATCCTCTTCAACCATTTCAATCTGACGATACCTAGATTTAATACCAATTTTGTTAAAGACATTGCTGTCTTGCAACGTATCCAAAAAAAAATCGATCCCAGGCAAGGGCTTCGAGTTATTCCTAGTGATCTTGTTCAGGTCTCTATAATCAATGCACATTCTGAATTTACCATTCCCCTTTGAAACAAAGAGCAAACGTTCCCCGTACTCAAAGAGCTAGGCTTGATCCATCCCTTCTTGTTGAAGGATTGTAACTATTTCCTGAGTTCATCCAACTCCGCAGGCAAGGTCCTATACACTCTGCCTTTTGCGATGCTTGGTCTGCCTGTGGACAAGGCCAGTAGTGTGTGTGTGCGTGTCCGTGTGTGTGCATGTATTCGTGCATGTTTGTGTCACCTTCTCTATACACAACTCCACAAAAGCATGACTCATCAGGAGGTTGAAGCTCGTCAGTCTGCCCAGGACACATTTGTGTGAGTGCGTGCATGTATGCATGTCTGTGCATGTGCATGTATGTGTCTGTGCATGTGCATGTGTGCATGTGTCTTGTGCCAGCACGTGCGTGTGTGTGTGCGTGTGCGTGTGTGTATTCGTGCATGCTTGTTGCCACGTTCTCTATACACAACTCCACAAAGAAAGCATGACTGTGCTAAACTGTTTAGCCGGACTTTCACCGACTAATCAGTCAGGAGGTTGAACCTCACCAGTCTGCACAGGACGCATATGAACGAGTGTGTGCATGCGTGCATGTCTGTGCATGTGCTTGCGTGCATGTGTGTGTGCATGTGAGTGGATGAGTGTGAGCGTCCGTGTGGTTTGTGTGTTGCTGCTGCACCTGCCTGTGTGTGTGCATGCGTGTGTGCCTGTGCACGTGCTTGCGTTTGCCTGCACGTGTAAGTGTGTAGGTCTGTCTGGTGTGTGTGTTGCTGCTCCGCAGCCGAAGTGTCGAACTGCAATGCAGTTCGTTCACTGGTGACCAAGTAGTGGTGCCCGACTGACGGCCCAGATCTTCACGCAATCTTAAAATCTTAAGGTCATGTGACGATCCGGGCCATCGGCCATCCGATGTCTGATTTCTCACATTCGTGATTTTTATAAGTGTAGGT